AAATATTGAAGTAATGATGTTCTTCAGTGCAGGTAATGGTTCATTTAGACTTAAAATAAAGATCTTACGAAACGTCCAGATGAAACCTGCAGTTATGAGCATCGTGTGTGTGATCTGCGTTTGTGTGTGTCTGTGTGTGTGTGTGTCGGAGTGTCCTGTAAAGCCAGATAAAGCAGACTCTGGGGTGCTGTGATGTTCAGTGTGAATATTCACTGCAGCAGAACAGAACATTCATCTCATGAGATCCATTACACACACACACACACACACACACACACACACACACACAGTCTCTTTAGGCGCTTCTGTGTGAATGGACTCAATTTTTTTGCTCAAAAGTTGCACAAATGTAATATGCGTGTCGCTGAATCCTGTACAAAAAGTATTGTGAATGTGCTTTAGCATCAGACTGAAACATGCTTTCTGCGTGTCGAGGTACAGCTAATGGTGTCAGATTAACCCTTGTGTACTTGACTCCCCTTTAGCTATGTTGGTGCTGTTTTTGACTTCCATTATAATCACGTTTATTGACTGCAAAGCCATGACAGCATATAATCATGCATTCTTGATTGTTGCTGGTTTCCCTGTTGGGATTAAGAGGGATGGTGTGTCATTTTAATGTTGATCATCAGTTGTCAGCATTAACCCTTTAGACAGGCCTGTGTTGAAGAGTTTCTGGCATTTATATAGAGTTCAGTGGAGTAAAACAGCAGATTTTATGATCCTCGAGTCCGGGGCTCCCTCCAGTTAGAGGGGAGTTTGAGCTTAGGTAGATCTCGATGAACTCCCCTGACTTATATCTGGCAAATGACAGATATATGGATGGCTAAAGAGAGATATAGAGCTTAATAAGAGCTCGACTACAGTATGATGCTGATATGGTATGTTCACTTTAATTAGGTCGTGTAATCTTGGACTGTAAGAGGAAACCAAGGAACCCAGGGGAAACCCACACGAGGGAGAACATGTAAACTCCATGCAGAAATGTCATGTGGTGTCGGCGCAGTAGCCTAGTGCAGTGGTTTTTGCTGTGTGCACCCCTTACTAATATTTGACACCTGTCAAGCACCCCTTTCTCCGATTAAACTCCACATTTTTAACTACAATAACTAAATCGACATATGCTCTGTATACATGATTAAAATAAAAATAATTAAATATGTGAATTTAATGGACAAGCTTTTATGAAGTTGACAATTTTCCAACCCAAGCTCATTCTGGAAACGTAGCCCCGCGGAGATTTCTGAAGACCGCGATTTACGTGGCGAAGGTACGTATGGCCGCATTTTGTTATTTCAAGCGAACACTATGGGTGGTGTGACGCCGCTCCTCTTTCCGCTCACCGGCTGCCAGCTCACCTCCTCCATGTGGAGGGTTTTCCCATCACAACCAGTTTGTCTGGTTTGCTCGTCGTGTTACGTCGGCGGAGGCCGGGAGGAGGAGCTGGCAGCGTTCGAAGACCGGGTTCGAGTCCAGGGAAGAGCGGTTCCAGAAATCAGGTAAGACTAAAAACAGAATTCAAAAAATAAAATGAACGAGTACATAACGGGGCGAGAATGCGGTGAAATCCGAAAACGAGGGCTTTTCTTTTTCTGCACGGCTTTCGTAAATCATCACTTGGGTTTAGGGAAGAAGGAGGAGGGTGGCCGGTCAATCGTTCAGTCATTCGGTCAGTCGGACAGGTGGTCGCTCGACAGCGGCCTTCGGCGGCTTTTTACGCGAGAACAGCGAGAGGCATTCGAGACTCGAAAAAGCGCACACAGTGGCCTCTCGCGGACTCGTGAAAACAAAAGCTGCACAAATACATACCTCCCAAGACGTATACCGCGGTGTTACGACCCCCTCGTTTGAGTCACAACATAAGAGTTCGGACAACAAAAGAATGTATATGCAACTTATTTATTATACATAAAACTAAACAGAACAACAAATCAACAAACAAATGTCTAGGGGAAAATAAAGAAAATAACTACTTTAACTACACAAATAAATAATGCTAAACAAAACCATAAGGTTGCAGAAATGAAGAGATGATCTTGAACACGAGGACGGCCCGTAGCCACACCGTCCTTCAGAAGCTAGCACACAAATCACTTTTATATGGCTTGAGCCAATTAGTGAACAACCAGGCACCCAATCAGGATCTGCCACATCCATACTGAAATCCTGGGGTCGTCACAGCGGTCTCCAGAAACGTCCGCGGGGCTGCGTTTCCAAAATAAGCCTGGGTTGCAATTTTCACAGCGTCATTACGTACAGACAAAGTTCCTCTGACATGATTTCCATCGCTAGAGCTTCTTGGTGGATGCTGCAATGTACCGATGGTGCAACTCTTCAGATGAAAGCTACTGCTTTGTTCCTCCAATTTTCCCTGGAAACAGGCATGTCTTGTAAGTGGATGTGTCTTGTTTGTTATATATATGGACCATAGATGAGGGGCTTAAGACTGCTATTAAACCTCACCACAGACTACACACTGCGCATGTGGATTTTCTGCATCTCCGATCCATGTAATCCCCGAAACCAATGGAACTGTCGCTATATTGGTGTTTCTTACTTGACATTTTCTCACTCTCCAGCGGAGGCCTAATTCTCTTCATCAGCACATCTCTGCTGGATTTCTCTGTTCCCGCCTGCACCTCTTCACCTCGTTCGTTATCCTCCAAGGCTGCTGCACGTCTCAATAGATGTAGATGGTTCATCCCTGCTGTCTCTTGACTTGTTTAAAGTGCCAGTTGTTACGAGTAGTTGTTGTAGTGTGGTGTAGGCTTGTGTGTGTGTGTGTGGTGTTAATTTCCCTCTCTCTCTTTCTCTCTCAGTGTTTAATCAGGTGTCCATTTTGATGACTATAGTAAGCGGAAAAAAAGACAAATGTACTATCATTTAGTGCCTAAAGTGAAAGGACAGGGCTATTGTGATGCAGACGTGAAACAGCGAGATGAGTATGCATGCACAGGTTGTAAATTACCATTTTTAATGTGATTTATTTTCTCTCTCAGTGAATTTCTTGTCTCTTAAAAATATGACATGTGAAGTTTACCCAAGGTAAATGCTTAAAAATAACAAAAGATAACATTTTCCGCCATTACAAACATTCTCTCGCATACCCCTGGTGGTCAGACTGCATGCACCCCAGTTAGGGAACTGCTGGCCTAGTGGTTAGCTCGCTGACATATGGTGCAGTAGCACTTCAGGGTGTCCCAAGTTCAAATCCTGGCTCAAGGACATTTCCCCCTCCCTACTCCCTCTCTCACTCCCACTTCCTGTCTGAAATATTGCCCTAAAGAAATGTTAACTGGTTCAGTAGGGACTTTATCCGGTGTCATTCTTGCTGTGAGGCAACAGTGCTAATCACTGGGCCGCCGTGTCGCCCAATCTAAAAAAAGGAGGAGGAGTAGGGGTGGAAGGGGGGATTCTTCAAGACGAAGATACTGGGGTAAGAAACTTATTTATGTTGTGTTAGCAATCATCTAATTGGTGATTCATGTATTGGTTAATGTGGGAACAGTTGAAATGACATTGTCCCTCTACCCAACAGGGAAAACCAGGAACAATCAAGAATGCATGACTATATGCTGTCATGAAAAAACAGCACCAACATAACCAAAGTGTAGTCAATCTGCCCAGAGTGTATTGATGAGATGTTTGAAAATGTTTAAAGCATTTTCCCAATTTGTAAAGATCAGATTTGTCAGAAATAATCATGTAGACGAACTGCTGCAGGTCAAAGCGAGCATCAGAATGGGGAAGAAAGGGGATTTAAGAGACTTTTAACGTGGCATGGTTGTTGCTGCCAGACGGGCTGCTCTGAGTATTTCAGAAACTGCTGATCTACTGGGATTTTCACGCACAACCATCTCTAGGGTTTACAGAGAATGGTCCGACAAAGAGGAAATATCCAGTAAGGCAGTTCTGTGGGCACAAATGCCTTGTTGATGTCAGAGGAGAATGGCCAGACTGGTTCCAGCTGATAGAAAGGCAACAGTAACTCAAATAAGCACTCGCTACAACCGAGCTCTGCAGAAGAGCATCTCTGAACACACAACACGTCCAACCTTGAGGCGGATGGGCTACAGCAGCAGAAGAGCACACCGGGTGCCGCTCCTGTCAGCTAAGAACAGGAAACTGAGGCTACAATTCACACAGACTCACCAAAACTGGACAATAGAAGATTGGAGAAACGTTGCCGGCTCTGATGAGTCTCCATTTCTGCTGACACATTCGGATGGTCGGGTCAGAATTTGGCCTCAACATCATGAAAGCATGGATCATCCTGCCTTGTGTCAGCGGTTCAGGCTGGTGGTGGTGGTGTAATGGTGTGGGGGAGATTTTCTTGGCACACTTTGGGTTTATTAGTACCAGTTGAGTATGGTGTCAACACCACAGCCTACCTGAGTATTGCTGCTGACCATGTCCATCCCTTTATGAGCACAGTGTCTCCATCTTCTGATGGCTACTTCCAGCAGGATAACGCAGCATGTCATGAAGCTCAATCATCTCAGACTGGTTTCTTGAACATGACAATGAGTTCACTGTACTCAAATGGCCTCCGCAGTCACCAGAGCTCAATCCAATAGAGCAGCTTTGGGATGTGGTGGAACGGGAGATTGGCATCATGGATGAATCCATGCCACGAAGGATTAAGGGAATTCTAAAAGCAAAAGAGGATCCAACCCGGTACTAGTAAGGTGTACCTAATAAAGTGGCCGGTGAGTCTAAATTTACATTACAAAATGTTAAACAGTTCACATTTAAATTTAACATATCGTAAGTGCAGAGTTTTTCCAAATTAATTAATCGCAAACGTGTTATGTAAACACGCCTAATGTATTTAGGAATGTCACATGTGCTGCGTTTCATATGTTTAATATGAGCTGTGTGCATCAGATCAGATGTTGACATTTATCTCATGCACATCAGTGACAACCTGTGGATCGGCGTTGTGCGGTCGCGCGCACATGCTCGAGCCGCGGCGGCGCGCTGACGTCATCGGTGTTTATAAGCGCTGCTTGAACTCACAAGAGGCAGTCGGTCTCGTTTACTCCCGTTCTGCCGCCGTCTCGTTCGGCGCCCGTGCACTCATGACCGGGAATCCCGACCGGAGTAAGCTGAAGAAGAGCTCGCCGAAGAAAGCCTCTCCATCTCTGCTGTGCTCCATGTGAAATAAAAGGTAGGAATCTCTGATTGCAGATCATTCACTGCTGTATTTGAAGAGAGAGTTTGTGCACAAATAAACCGCTTTATTTTATTAGTGTTTTCAGCACCGCGGAGAGCTCAAACGCACATGCGGATCAAGTTTTGATAGTTTATTTCTTCATGCAACCTTATTAGATTATCATTTAAATGATGGGTTTTTGCATCCTTAAGTGTTAAACGTCGTATTTTACGTGAGATATCCATCAGATGTCCACATATAATTGCTACAACATTTTTTTATAACTAGAAACACTCTTTCTCAGATTCAGCACCACAGACCGCTCCAGTGCAAAGCAGATCTACTGTAGTTTGATCGTTTATTGCGCCTCGTGGATCGTTCTTCATGCAAGCTTTTTCAACATTTAATCTGATTTTAATTGACGGGTTTTCGCATCTTCAAGAGGTCTAATGTCGCATTTTAAGTGTGATATCCATTAGATGCCTAAATATATCATATTGAACTATTATATTAGTGAACTTTCCAAATTCTGAAACGAGAACTTTAAATTTTTTACGTACATTTGAGGGTTTTGTAATTCAGTTTAATTCATAAGCATAACCATTTCTTTTTGTCGTTTGCATTTGTTCAGTCGTTCAACCACCTACCATCTGGTTTTCAATTAATATTAAAATAGTTGGGTTTTATTTTAAACAATATCCTCCAAAGGGAAGTCACGTTTGCCCACGTGCTGACTTTTAACTATTTTTCATTGCATTTATGTGTAAATAATTCGGCTAAGAAAGTAACTCCTCATCACTCTTTGGAGATTATGTTCTTCACTAGGAGCTTTTGACGATTCATTTGCTTTGTGCATGTATATTTAGGTTTTGTGCCTTGCTCACTCTTCAGCTTCTTTACATGTCGTTTATAAATTTGTTGCGTTTTCTGAACAAGGTTATAAGGCTTAAAAGAAGTGCCTACACAACTGAGATATCCAGCACCATGGATAGCTCCCAATTGTATTTGTTGTATATGTCTAAAACGGCCTTTCTCCAATTCAGCACCACAGACAGCTCCAAATTCACATTTTTACATCTAAAACCGCTTCTTGGATTAAGCACAATGGGCAGCTCCCAAATCCTTTTACCAAACCTTTTTTTCTCCGATTCAGCTCCACCGACAGTGTAATTGTATATATCTAGAAATGCTCTTTCTAAAATTCAGCACCATAGACAGCTTCAAATCCATTATTTTTTTAATAACTAAGATTGCTTTTTCATGGATGGGATCAAGTTTAATGGAAAGACCATGGAAAGCTCCAAATGTATTTTATTTGTAAAATTAACTCTTCATATATATATATATATATATATATATATATATATATATATATATATATATATTGAAATGCTCTCTCTCTGATTCAGCACTATGGACAGTTCCGGTTTCCTTTTGAGTAGCCGAGTACAGTATGACAGTGATTTCTTCATGCAGATTACCCTAAGAAAAGTTTATATGGTTTTTATATGGTTTTATTAGTGGCACTTTATTTTAATGTACAAATTTTCCTATTAACAGGCCATTATCTAAGACTGTTAGCTCAATAAAGTACTAATTTGCTGCTTATTAGTAGTATTTAAGGTAGTAGTTGGGTTTAGGTATTGAGTAGGATTAATGAGGTGGAATAGGGTCAAATTTAATCAGTTTTAATAAATAGCCAATATTTTAATGTAATAAGACAGCACTTTATGGTGGGAATTGAACTTAAATGGAAGTGTTTAGTCAATGTGAGACATTACATGTTCTCACTGAACACTGAAATGAGAGCTAGCTACATCCAACAAATGTTGTGTAGTTGCATAGTTTTGCCCGTCTGCATTAGAAAATGCTCCATCTGTTATTTCATGTTGATTCTCCGTGCACATGTACCAAACATTTCTTCTTGCAAATGATTTATTTAGTACGATGCACATGCACATTCACTTAATTCAGTCATTCTGAGATACAGCACTGGAGACCACTCTGTAATCAACCAATTTAAAGTGATAGTTCACCCAAAACTAAACATTCCGACATCATTTCTTCACCATTTATTTGCTTCAGACCTTTATGACTTTTCTTCTTCTTTTAATAGTAACTTCTATTAATATTTAACTAAAAAAAATGATATTCTAAAAAAGCTAGAAACCTTTAACTGTTGACAACAATAGTATTTATTTTTCATACCATGGAAGTCAATAGTTACAATCTTTCTGCTTTCTTCACAATATCTTCATTTGCATTCAACAAAAGAAAGAAACTCAAAGTTTTGGAAGTACTTTTAGATTTTAAGGTGAACTATCCCTTAATCTTATTTCAAATGTGCACATATATATGTGTGTCATGTTGGAAGCCATTGACTGCATTAGTGTTTGTTCTTACTATGGAAGTCAATGGTTACAGTCTTCAAAATATCCTCAAATTGTTTTCAAACTCAAAGTTTTGGAGCCACTTTTTGATTTCGAAGTGAACTATCCCATTAACTTTTGTTTAATGTCCTATTTCAAGTGTGGTTTTTCTGTGTCGTTCATAGTTTGATGTATTGTTGTGTCTCCAGGCTCAGCGATGAACGAGAGCGAATCTCTCACCAATGAGAGCGCTATGGGTTTCCCATCATCCTCCTGGCTGGAAGCCGAAACCTTCGCCTCAAACGGCACCCTGGCGCTCTCGTCTGCCAGCCCAAACTTCCACGTGAACCCGTGGGACATTATGCTGTGCCTGTCCGGGACGGTGATCGCCTGTGAGAACGCCATCGTGGTGGCCATCATCTTCTACACGCCCACATTGCGCAACCCCATGTTTGTGCTGATCGGCAGTCTGGCCACCGCAGACCTTCTAGCCGGCATGGGATTAATCCTGAACTTCGCGTTCCAGTATCTGGTGTCCTCCGAAACCATCAGTCTGATTACTGTGGGATTCCTGGTGGCTTCGTTTACGGCGTCCATCAGCAGCCTGTTGGCGATCACCGTCGACCGCTACCTGTCGCTCTACAATGCCCTCACATACTTCTCCGAGAAAACTCTGCATTATGTGCATCTGATGCTGGTGGGCACGTGGGGTGCGTCTCTGTGTTTGGGACTTCTGCCTGTTTTGGGCTGGAACTGTTTGGACGATGCGTCCACATGCAGTATTGTGCGTCCACTTAAGCGCAGCAACCTCACACTCCTCGCCACGTCGTTCTTCATCATCTTCATCCTCATGCTAAGCCTTTATTTTAAGATCTGCAAGATTGTGTGTCGTCACGCGCATCAGATTGCATTGCAGCAGCATTTTTTTACTACTTCACATTATGTGGCTACTAAAAAAGGCGTCTCGACGCTGGCCATCATTTTGGGGACATTTGGCGCCAGCTGGCTGCCCTTCGCTATTTACTGTCTGGTTGGGGAGCGCGAGTATCCGCCGGTGTACACGTACGCCACACTGCTGCCCGCTACATACAACTCCATGATCAACCCCATCATCTATGCCTACAGAAACACAGAGATCCAGCGCTCCATACACATGCTGTTCTGCGGATGCTTTCAGAGCAACGGCTCGTACCGCTCCAGATCGCCCAGTGAGGTCTAGATCACGCGTTTAACCCTGTAAAGCGTCATATATGAGCCTGATGGAAGTCTGATATATGGTAATTTATGCAAATCACATATTTAACATATTAGTTCATGGTTGCATTTCACAGATACATATAAAAATACATATACATAAGACATCACTCTGCATCTCCAATGATATGTCTTAGTAAGATGATATTTAATGCTTAGTTGTGATCAAAGTGTAGTTTCAAATGGATATTGCAATGCAAAACAGTGATGATTGAGAGCTGAACAAATAAACATTCATACACAGAAATATATCATACACTGATATATCAAACAGGCCATAATAAAAACAGGCCTTAATTTCCAGAACCTTTACTTTCTCTGTTTTTCAGCGGTGAACAAACTCCCCATATATATATTAGATGATTTCGAGGCTATATGAGCAATATCACATGAGTAGCAGTGCAATATGGCTGTATATCAGCACTGGTGGGAGGCGTGCATTGTTAGTGCCCTAACCAGTGCCGATATACAGCCATATCGCACTGCTACTCGTGTGATATTGCGTTTTACAGCATAATTGTGTATATTAGAACAAAATCAAACATATAATATAATATAATATAATATAATATAATATATTATAT